GTTGCTGCTCTTCCTCTTCCTCCAATTTTTTTTTTTTTTTTGGCAAATCATGCGCTTGGGCTTTGACAAGGGTCGAGCATCTGCTGCGGCTAACAAAAGGTGGCAGAACTTTTAAGTCTCGCATTTGAAAGAAGGCACTTGTCATGGCAATCGGAAGAAGGCAATATTGATTAGCTGTCAGCTAATCGCTGACACTAGTTGCCTCTCGCTCGCACCAACTAGCAGATGCAGCATATATATCAAAAGACTTAGGCAACAAACTTGTCATGTATGCAGTACATTAAGCAGAAGAGAAGAGAGTCGAGAATATGCAGCTGCTTAACATACGACTTGCATAACACTTGTCTAATATGTAAGACATGCATATAACAGCTTTAACATTTGGCTAAAATATTTACATAACAGTTGTCGCGCTGCTGACAGAGCTTCAATTGTAGGCACCTTTGCAATCATTCAAGCAGCTGCTACTTGAAAGGCGCAAATAAACACAAGAGTGAAAAGTTAACAGCGCATTTACATATGTCAAATTCATCTAGAATCAGATAAGAGATGCGTAAGAAAACACAGTGAAATTTTAACAGTTGCTTAGCATACTTACACATTTCTGAGTCATATAGAGAAATTCACATATTGGCGTTTAACAGCCAGCTAACATACTTCTATAACAGTTGGCGAAGCTGCAACAAAACTGTCAATACTACTTTAAATATCTGTAAAAATTATTTCAACTGCAATTAGCTTTGCTTCTATTGTTTATATTTTATTTTGCTGTTAACTTTATGTTGCTGTTAAATTAACAGTTCAGCTCATCATATGTTCCGTGGCCAAAGCTTGAACTATTAGTTTCTAAGCATTTAATCAAATTCAATTTAGTCAACAATACCTCTGTCTCACCTCCTTTTTCGCTCTCTCGCTCTCTCGCTCTCTCTCTCCCTCTCTCTCTCTCTCTCTCTCTCTCTCTCTCTCTCTTTCGCTTGACTGTCAAACATTGCGTGCTTTTCATGCTCTATTAAATAACTGAACAAGTGGGTGGTTTTTGTTTTAGCTAATTTTTCCATTTTGCTTTCAAGATGTCAACGTGGTTTTTTGTTCGGTTTCAGGGTTAAGTTTACGGATTATATAAAAAGATGTGCAATTATTTAATGTACTGAACCATCTAAAAGCTAACTAAATTGTTAGCTCTTTCTTAACTGAAATATAAAGCAGATTTCAGCTTTTTAGCCAAGCATTGAATTGCTTCAAAAGTAAACGCATTTGGAATAGATAAAAATTTCAGACATAGAGCAAGAAAATTATTTCGAAAATATATGTACATATCTATCTCGAAGGAAAATTAAATTAAAATGAAACATATTTTGTATAAGTTGATTTGAACCATATCCCTAACTGAGATAGTTTCATATATATATGGATATATCCATACCATATACCCAGCTGAGTGCAAAAATGTACAAAGATTGTTTAATTTTAATAAAAGCTCAAGAAAAACTATCCATACTGTTGTACAACCCATTATAACTCGTGATCTATAACAGTTACAGTTGTAAAATCTTGAAATATTTAATAAAAAGCTCAATCTTCGTGCACTTTTAAGGCAATCAATTGTTGAACTCTGTTCAATAGATGCCTTTAACCCTTTTTTGGTTGAGTCGACCCTTGGAGAAGCTGCTCATGTTATTTGCTTACAATGCTTGCCTATTCACATGTGTGTGTGTGTATGTGTGTGTAGTTTATATCTGGGTAGAGCCGCTGGGCGACGTGTTTCGCATTTGCAATGGCACACAGAACAACAATAACAGCAACAACAACAACAATGAGAAGATTTGTGTGCTATGCTTGGGCTAGGCTTTTAGGTTGATAGATGGGACGCATAGAGGTGTGTCGTCATTCGTCGTGCATGCCGGGAATTCAACATGTAAGTTAGCCATAGAATGCGTTTGGAATTCGCTTCAACATAACAGCAACAAAAACAACAACTACAACAACAATAACAATAACAGTAACAATTGTAGTCAACAAAAACAACAACATCGAAAAAATCTCATCTCAGAAAAAAAAACGTCTCAATGTTGGCTTTTTCCGTGGTCTCACACACACACACACAACAGTTGGTGAGCTGTTGCGCGTGGGCCATGCGTAAATTACATAACAAAAATAATAAAAGAGAATAACAAAATAAAAAGTGTATAAGAAGCAGAGAAAGAAGAAGCAAAACAACACCCGCATAGCTATAGAATATCACTAGAAGCCAGACGTAGTTGGAATAAACTGAAAAACTACTTCAGACGGAACTGTTCTACGGCAATAATGTTATACATTTACATTCTGTTATGCAGTTCGAATAGTATGCTGTTGTACTGCTATACACTGTTAAACTGATGTACAACTATGTAGTTATACTGTTATGCCATCATAATGTCATGTAGTTTTACTTTCGTACTGTTATACCATAGATATATCATATATAATAATATCATGCTGATATTTATACATATATTCTGTTATACATCTAAATAGTAACACGTTTATAGTTGTTAACAGTTCTGCTGTTATAATATTGTATTGATATTCTTTAGTATTGCATTCCCAGTGCAGCAGCAACATTAACAGTATATGTTAACATACATAGTTCATTGCTAATTCATTTGCATAGAAATGTAAATAGCTCTGTTAAAAGAAGGTGCTTAACATTAACAGCTGCATGAAGCAAACACAAATCAACGAGCAAAATAAACAACAAAGACGCAAAATAACAAGTAAAAAAGTATTACAAATTCTGGACAACAACGGCGACGCTTTGTTATGCACATTAACATACGCATACACGCAAATGCTATCGCTTGCGTGTGTGAGTGTGTGTGGGTGTGTGTGTGCGTTTCTGTGATGTTTCGTTAAGACGCATTTTGCGCTAGACCAAAGTGAAGCGAAAAGCGAAAAAAATGACACAAAACAAAAACAAAAAACAGATAACAAGAATATCTTAAAAGTTCAAGCACACGCAGCCAGCAAGTAAATAGAATAAATAGAAATAAATAAAAAAGAATAAGAAATCAATTAATGTAAAGGATAAAACGATCATTGAACTTGATATTTGTGTGTAGATATAAAATGGAGCAAATGAAGAGAAGCTAGAGAAATACGAAGATCTTACCTGCAGCTCTGTTATATTTCTGTCCTTCCATGATTATGTTATTATTGCACTCAAAAAAATATATATATAACAAAAAATATTTCATTATTTACACTTGCAAAAAAATTTTAAAATAATTCTTTCATTAATTACACATAAAAAAAAAAAAGGGAAAAATATATTTTATTTATTACACTTTAAAATTGAATTGAATTATTTCATTTCCTCAAACACTTTTTTTCTTTTGCATTTGTAATTATAAAGCATTTTGAAGCAATTGCCTTGACCTTAACACAATAAAAACTAATTACGACAATTACAACAACAACAACTGAAACTGGAAAGCTGGAAAACTGGTAAGGCATAGCCAAGCCATTTAACAGCTCGTTATACAGTTGATCATGTTAAATTGCAGGCGTGTTAACTTAACAGAATACACACGAGTGTGTGCGTCTGTGTTTGTGTTTGCTTGTGGGCAGCTGCTGGGCGTGGCTTGTGCTGTTATTATGGCAAAGACAACATTTTAAGTGAATTTAAATGAAAATTAAATATATACATATGCATGTACATGTGTATGCATGCATAACCATAACGAAATGTGCGTTTAAATGTGCCAAAGCAATTGAAGTAATCAATTATGTTAAACAATTTGAACGTCGAAATGTTAAACGGCTGTGCACACGCTCAAGGCTGCACTAGCTGTTAACTCTGCACCGCGCTGTTAAGCGGCAGGCGACAGTTAGAATTTGAGTAAAGCAACAACAGTGCTGGTCGCTATTTAGCTTAGTTTTGACTTTTAGCCATTTTTAATACTTTTAAGCTATCAGCTTTTTTATTCATTTATCCAGAGTATTGGCAGCTGTTTATGTAACTTAGCCTTTATAGCTTATTTAAACAATATTTACCAAGCTATCATATTTTTATCATGTGATTCGTCATCTTTTAGCTTTTTCTACCGAATTTAGCTATTTTACTCTAGAACTAGCAATATCAGCTAAAGAGCTGGCAGCACTATGCAGCAAAGATAGCGCAGCTGTGTGCGTGTTGGGCATTTGAAATTTTAAACACACACACACGCGCACACATTCACACATTTGACAGTGYCATGTGTGTGTAATTATGGGTACCGTGCGCTTTGCATGCCATGAAATGTGTGCGTGTGTATTTATGAAGGGCTTTACAGCAACAACACCTACGCATACAAAACTTGTTCATTGACAAATGCCGCTGCAGTACACACAAACACATATTAAAGCAATTGCAAAAAGCCTTGATCTTGATCGCATGAACGTAACAGGCAAACACACACACATACACACTCAAACAACAAACATTTAATCGACGGCCGCCAACAGCAAAGGCAGCGACGTTGACGCCAACTTGATTGCCATTGCAATAGGAATAGTTGTTGTTGCTGTAATTGTTGTTTCTATTATTTATTGCACTTGATTTGATTTGATTTACAGCCAAGACAAGTTTTTATTTCGTTGCTGTTTGCCAACCTTGTCTTTGCCTGGTTTGACGGCGCTTCGACGCCGAAGGCGACTGCAGCGGCGCCTCGCACTTGCACTTGCTCTTCACATTTAATTCACACGAAAAAAATAAGAAAATAAAACACATTAATGATCAAATACATATGTACATATGTATCTATATTTACATATATAGATGTTTAGAAATATATTTTGTAAAATATTCAATGTATCTACATACATACATATGTACAATAAATTCAATTTCTGTATTTTCATCTCTAATGATTACGCGCATTGTTTAGCTGCGTACTTGCCTACTGATTATTTCTGAAAAGAAAGAGAAGGCGGAAAGGCGAAAATCACCACATATCGACGCAGTTACATGCACACATGCAAAGATTTATACACTTGTATGCGCATGCAAATGGCTGTGTGCGCGCATGCGAACAAAGACGTCGACAGGATTTTATTAACTTAAGATCTATAGGGGGCGAAAGAAAAACTTGCTCATATTAGTTAAATAAATAAGTAGATTTTTACTAACGCAAATATATGTATATAATACTATAGTAATTTGTATGTATGTACATATGTACATATGTTTGGACATTTTAATTATTAACAGAATACAGAAAATCGTTAGTTTTATTTAAATGCTATAACTAATAGGTTATTTTTTAAGTCTTCATCAAAGCTTTTGTATGTATGTATGTACATAAACATACATATAACATATTAAATTGTAACGTTTTATGCAAATAATAATTCTTTCTATTTGTGTCTGTGCACTTGCCTCGCCCCTTCTCTGACTACGTCTTTGTGTCTAGTTGTTAAAACGTTTCAAAGGCACGATTTTCGTACTGGCAACTCCTTACAATTACAGTTATGATTTTTTGTTCTTTACGAAATAGAAATTAAGCAAGGAAAAATATACATACATATGTACATACAAAATATACATGAGCACCATACAGAGACACATGTGCACACACACACGCGCACTCGCAGAAAATTTGGGCGAATTGATACAGTAAAGACAAACAGAAGCGACGACAGAAAATTCTAGTAACATTTCGCTAAAGCAACGTGGAAAGCTTATTGCTAATAATTAATAAATAAAAAAATATTCCAATAAAATACAACTTGTTGTAGATACTTGGTGCACTCTGTATTTTCTATTTGAGCTGAGTAATTGAAAGCAATAGGCAGTTGATTTAACATTTTTGTGTGAAACTTTCATTTGCGTGTGCTCACTGTATTTAGGAGATCGCCGCGACAAAACACTTTCTTGTTGCGTCTTTTTGCTTGCATTGTACTTGTGTGCGTGTGTCAAAAAGTGTGTGCAGGAATAAGAAGGCGATGATGCGCTTACAGTTAGCAGTTGATCGTTGTGGCGAATGCACGGTTAATTCTTGTCGCTCGTCTTCGGGCATCGATTTAGTTTTCGGTTACGGGGTTCAATTTCGTTGTTATTACATTCTATTTTAATTTCGGAGTAATCTTCGTTCTCTTGCGCTTTTCGCTTTCGGGCAAGTGCCGTTAACTTTTGCTTTACAAGAATGTAAAACTTATGCGCGCATCAGTGCATGCATACAAACATACATATATTTACATGTGTAGCTTTATATGCGCATGTGCTTGTGCATATTTTTTAGCTGTTGCGCTTTTCACTAATATCTATTTTTTTTATTCTCTCTTGTCTATTTTCAGAAAGTAACGGTTGTTTAACGCCAGCAGAACTGTTGCAGCGTCTTAGCTGCAACAGCAACAGCAACAGCTCCACAGCTGAAACCTCTAGCACCAACAACACCACCACCACCACAACCACAACCATTACAACAACCAACAACAACAATAGCAACAGCAAACTTAATATTAGCATTAACCTTAGCAGAACAGCAACACCACCCGCAACAGCCACAAAAGACTGCGACGAGAATTCGTTAACAGCAAAAGTAGGAGAAGCAGGAATAGAGACAGAAGCAGAAGGAGAAGTAGTAGTAGAGCTAGAAGGTGAGCCCGAAACAGAAACAGAAGCAACAAAAGCTACAACAACACCAACAGCAAGCAGCATACCAAAAGAAAACGAACAGAGCCCAAAGCAGAATAGTGCGTCGCACGCTAGCAGCAACAGCAGCAGCGACGCTGAAGACGAAGCTGACGGCGACGCCGACGTTGACGTTGACGTCGACGTTGGCCTTGAGGCGCCAAAGCCACGTTATTACGGCGCTGGCGTTGTTCTAACGCAAGCCCAGCGCAAAGAATATCCACACGAACGTCTTAGCAAAGAGAAAGTGCTAAACGCTGATTCCGTCGCTGACGCTAACGTTGACGTTGACAGCGGCAACAGCAACGGTAACAGCAGCAGCGGCGATACTGATGACAGCGACTCCGATGACGGTTGCAAATTGATTGTGGACGAGAAGCCACTGCTACCAATTGAACAGCCGTTGTCGCTGCGCATGCGCAGCAGCCCGCCCACAGCAGAGCAGCGACCGAGTCCGCCGCCACCGCGTATACCCGCCGTTCGTTGCAGCGTCATACAGCGTGCGCCGCAGAGCAGCGAAAGCAACAGCAGCAGTAGCGAACTGTTATACAAACAGCAGCAGAGGGAACAGCAACAGCAGCAGCAGCAACAACTGTTATACCAGCGCACGCTCGACCTCGAGCAATTGGGACCCGAGCAGCAGGAGCCAATCGATTATCACGTGCCGCGGCAGCGCAGCGCCAGCTACGACAGCGACGACGAGTTGAACGCGCGCCGCTTGCAGCGGGCACGACGCGTACGTGAAGCCCGGCGTCGCAGCAGCTACTTGGCAGCGCGTGTGCTGCAGCTGAATCCGCGCCTGGTGCGCAGTCTGCCGGGCATTTTGGCAGCGGCCGCTGGACACGGACGCAGCAGCAACAGTAGCCAGGGCTTCCAAGCGAGCAACGGCTTTAGCCAGGGCGGCGGCGGCAGCGGAGGCGGCGGTAGCAGCAGCGGCGGCGGCAGCGGTGCTGGCAGTGGCGCCGGCAGCGGCGGCAGCGGTAGCTTTGGCAGCGGTGCCGGCGGCGGTGGCATGGGCGGCGGCCGTGACGGACGCGGCAACTACGGACCCAACTCACCGCCCAGCGGCGCATTGCCGCCATTTTACGAGAGCCTAAAGAGCGGCCAGAGCAGCGGCAGCGGCAGCGGCAGTGGCAGCGGCATCGGCGTTGCTGTTGACGCGCACAGCAATTCGCAATTTCTCATACAGAACGCAGCTGCGGCAGCTTATCTAATGTCCAATCAACAGTATAACTGTAATGGAGGCGGCGGCGGCGGCGGAGGAGCCGACGGCAGCGGTGGAGGAGCCGGTGGTGGAGGAACTGGTGGAGGTGGAGCTGGTGGAGCCGGCGCTGTTGGTCTTGATGGTAATAACATTTTGAACTTTGCCAACAATCTGGGCCATAGCAATTATAATGATATCAATTCTAATTCCAATTCCAATTCCAAATTCCATCATTTGCATTCCGCTGGAACGATTGGCAACGGACATCCCTTCTATGGCGGCAATCCTTCAGCTTATGGCATCATATTGAAAGATGAGCCCGACATTGAGTACGACGAGGCGAAGATCGACATTGGAACCTTTGCCCAGAATATCATACAGGCCACCATGGGCAGCGGCGTTGGCAGCGCAGCGGCAGCGGCTGCTGCTGCGGCCGCCGCTGCTGCTGCGTCGGGCAATAGTTTTGCGGCGAGCGCATATGAGGATGCGATCATGAACGATTTGGCTGGCAGCGGCACTGGCGGCGGCGTCGGCGTCGGCAGCGGCGGCCAATGCACAAATGGCGGCAGCGGCGGCGTTGATCCGTTGCAGTTTACCGCTACACTGATGCTCAGCTCGCAGACGGATCATTTGCTGGAGCAGCTGTCGGATGCTGTGGATCTCAGTTCGTTTTTGCAGCGCGGCTGCGTCGACGTCGACGACGACGACGAGCACTCGACGAACAACAACAGCCCCGCCCACCATCAGCGGGCGGACTTTGAACTGGTGTCGACGCCATCGTTGACGCCCGACTCGGATGCGGTCTCGGTGACGCCGCATGCTGCTGTCCAATTGGATGCACTGCACGAGAATCTGTTGACGCAGCTCACCAACAATATGACGCGCAACGGCAGCAACAGCAACAACAACAACAACAATGGCAGCGGCGGCAACAATGTTTATAATGCGCCGCAACATGTTGCCCCGCAGCATTTGCAGCAACATGTTGTGAACGCACAGCAGCAACAGCAGCAGCAGCAACATTTGCAGCAGCCGCCGCCCTCGTACCAGCATGCCACGCGCAACCTGTTGCAGATGCAGCAGCAGCACACTGGCAACAACAATAGCAACGGCAACAGCTACCATCAGCAGCAGCTGGCCCAGCAGCAACAGCAATTGCTGCAGCAGCAGCAGCAACAACATCATACACACCATCAGCAGCAGCAGCAGCAACAGCATTTCCATCAGCAACACAATATGTATGCACAGCAGCAGCATCATCATGCCCAACAGCAGCAGCAGCAGCAACAGCAGCAGCATCATTTCCATCAGCAACAGCAGCATCATGCTCATCACGCTCACCAGCAACATCAGCAGCACTCACACCAGCAGCAGCAGCAGCAGCAACATTCCCATCAGCAGCAACAGCAGCAGCAGCAGCATCAACTGCAGCAGCAACATCATCATCACAACGACAACAGCAACCTATCGCTGCCATCGCCAACAACAGCTGCGGCGGCCGCAGCAGCAGCAGCTGCTGCTGTTGCCGCTCTCCGTCCCATGTCCAGCAGCAGCAGCAGCAGCTCCAATCTGCTCGATGCCAACACGGCGGCGGTTGCTGCAGCCGCATTGCTTGACACCAAGCCGCTGATACAAAGCGTAAGTTCTAACAATATCTTAAAGATCAACAGCAACAGCAGCAGCAGCAACAACAACAACAATAACAACAGCAGCAGCAGCAGCAGCAACAACAGTGCTGAGTCACCAGCTGAGCCGGTGACCTATATGCTGCTTAACAGCAGCAACTATTTTAGCTACAACAACAACAGCACTGTCAACAGCAACAACATTACCAACATCAGCAGCACCACCACCACAAGCAGCAAAAACATTTGCAATTTAACCATTAAAACAAATAGCAGCAACTGCAATGGCAACAGCAACAGCAGCGGCAGCAGCAGCAGCAGCAGCAACATTAGCACCAGCAACATTAGCACCAGCAACACCAGTGCAAAGTTAGGCGGCCGCTCAAAGGCCGCTACCTATGGCTCCACTGTGGTCACGATCTACTCGACAGTGAAGCCATCGCCCGAGATGCCCGCACAGCGGCAGGTCCATCGCGCCACACTGCGTTCGCTTGCCACCGAAGCGGCGGCCACAGCAGCGGGTCTGTTGCCGCCGTCGTCGACCATTTCGGTGATCAATGAGAGCAAAATGCTGCAGCGGCTGGTAAGGCCCGGAGTAACAAGGCCCAGATGATGGGGGCCTAAATGTGGCCCTTGCATGTCCTTGTCTTTGTCTCTGTCTCTGTCTCTGTTTGTGGCTGTGACTGTGTTTCCCTCTCTCTCTCTCTTTGAATACATACCTGTCTTTGTTTTTCCGTTGTCTTTTTGTTGTCTTCTCTATCTGTCTTCTACCTTTTTGTTCTTTGAAGATTCCTGAAATTATATATTTATATACTATTCCGGAACAGTTTAGGTTATCTAAGAGACCTATTGATATGTCGTTGTATATATATATATAGCTCATACAGTTTCTCGAAATGCCAACGAAATGTATCTATATTTTAGGTTTATTAAACATATATATATTTATATTTCCCACAAATCGATCGTTCCCCGTCCCCATTGTGAATTGTTTAATGTTTTGTTGTTGCCCTGTGCTGTCTAAACATGTTTAATTTCTAATGGAGCATTTGACAATTTACCTTATATATGTGTTTATGTTTACCGTTCCTTCAGTTGGGTCTACCGCCTGATCTACAGCTGGAGTTCGTGAACGGAGGCCATGGCATTAAGAATCCGCTGGCCGTGGAGAATACGCATGGCGGACATCATCATCATCGCATACGCAACAATATGGATTGCATTGAAGATCTCAAGCATGGCCAGCAGCAGCAGCAGCAGCAACAACAGCAGCAGCAACAGCAGTCGCTGCAACACCAGCAACAATTGCTGCAACAGCACTCGCCACAGCAGCAGCAGCACTCACCGCAGCAACAGTCGCTGCAACAGCATTTGGTACTCAGTCAACAGCAGCAGCAGCACGGCAACAGCAGCCATCATCGCAGCAACAATAACAACAGCAGCAGCAGCGTCAGCAGCAACAGCAGCAATCAGGGCGACTCGCTCTGCCCCAGCAACAACAGCGGCGCCGAGGATGCCAACAACAAGTTCGTCTGCCGTGTCTGCATGAAGACCTTCTCGCTGCAGCGTCTGCTCAATCGCCACATGAAATGCCACTCGGACATCAAGCGCTATCTGTGCACGTTCTGCGGCAAGGGCTTCAACGATACCTTCGACCTGAAGCGCCACACGCGCACCCACACGGGCGTGCGTCCCTACAAGTGCAACCTGTGCGAGAAGAGCTTCACGCAGCGCTGCTCCCTCGAGTCGCACTGCCAGAAGGTGCACAGTGTGCAGCATCAGTATGCCTACAAGGAGCGACGCGCCAAGGTAAGAGCACGTATTGAACTAACCTACCGAAATTCTCATGTGTGCTTGGGCATTTCTTATAAAATTGTAGACAGATTGACAGATTGACGGAACTAATGCAATTGTTATCTGGAACTAGTATATTTGTCGTTTGGAACTAGTTCACAAGATCATGAGTTAAAGAAATTCTATAGCAGTAGTTGAAATAGTTGAGATTTTTAACTATTTATTAAGAAACTAACTTACATGAATAATAGAGGTTTGGAACTAGTTCTGTAAACGAACTTAAAAGGAACAATAAGAAAACAAATCAAAAACTTAATATGATAAATAGCTGAGGCATGACATGATAGATAGAAAACGCATTCCAAAATTCAATTACGATGCGGAACTAGCTCAGAAAATGAACATATAAAGAAAACGACAAAAAGCTCAGAGTTAGTGAACGCTTAGCTCATATTACTTGAACGAGTTGATCGAACCGTGAGCAGTTGGTGTGTGGAACTAGTTCCGAAAATGAGCATATAATGGAAACAAGAGTAAAATTTGAAACTGCAGCTGATACAGTAAGGCTAGGAACTAGTTCATATGAAAATTACCAGAAACTAGCTAGGAAATAGTTTCATTCAGCCCATTGTCTCAGAGTTAGCTGCTAATAATCGAAGACGTAAAAATAATTCAGTACGGGAACTAGTTCAAAATACGAAAACTTAATAGTCAGTTTAGCCAAGCTTATTAATTCAGATGGAACTAGCTAAGACTTTTTTTGTTCATATTTGTACAATGCAAATATAGTACCTTAACAACACAGATTATATTATATAGAGCCTAGCCTTCTGATATACTCAGCGGTACTTATAAAACTAAGACTGAATTGAACTACTAATCAAGCTACGCCTCAATATATGCAACACTTTTATATTAACTTCTTCCCCTTTCTACTTCGTCGCCATTGCAGATGTACGTTTGCGAGGAATGCGGCCACACGACCTGCGAACCGGAGGTCCACTATCTGCATCTGAAGGACAATCATCCGTTTTCGCCGGCCCTGCTCAAGTTCTACGATAAGCGTCACTTTAAGTTCACCAATTCGCAGTTCGCGAACAATTTGCTCGGCCAGCTACCGATGCCGGTGCATAACTAACAAATTAACTGAACCTAAACAAAACTAAACTATAGATGTATACACAAAATGAGCTAGGAATAACTTAACTTAAAATCTAAGGTAAACTAACTGAAAACAGAAAACGTAATGCAAATTCAACTTTAAGCTGAAGTTTTATGAAAACTGCCCCACGAAAATGGAGAGATTATGTTTTGTACATTTATAATACAACATGATATCACCCATATATATCTATGTATACATAAGTCTATATATATCTCATTTAGCTGCTAGTTATGTAATCGAAAGAAAAAGCAAAATATTTAATTTTTAGTTTAGCTCAAGATGTTTCGAAAAGAAAAAACAAAATTTTCACTTTGCTGTGCAAAAAAAAAAAAAAAAAAAAAAAAAAAAAAAAATTAACGA